TCGGACACTACGCACAATTTATTATACAAGAAAACAACAGGGATAGGTGAATGGGGTTAGTAGCAAATAACAGCCTCACGCTGATGGGGGAGCCTCAGGGTCGTCCTCGTACGTCCCAGTTGTCCGGTGGGGGACCCACCGTCACCACAGTTCCTCTAATAGTCCGCACGGTTCTGTGCGGCAGCTGCGTGAAGGCTCGACACGGCTTCATGCGTACCGTCCGTGCGTCCACTCACTTTGGCTCTCGGCGACCCACTGCTGAGGGACTGCTTGGGGAAAGTAGGATGTCCTGGCGTACGTATGCGTATGAGGGAGGAGATTCTTCCCTCCGTAATCATTACGCCATTCCCTGCGGGGCTCGAGGAGGACTCCACAGAACTTTCATTTGCTTTTTTTTTTAACCTGCTAGCTTCAATAGTTCCTGTTCTAGACCAGTTTAAAAAGTGGACCGGTTTATTTTGCGCCACCCTGTATAATTGGAATTGCTCATTCAAAAAGACATGTTATGCCTTTTCTAACGATACCAGTATCAGGATTGTCGCTCAAATGCTTCATAAGATATAACAAATAAAAAATCAAATGGTTATTTCTCATGATGCAACTGCGTGCCAAACTTAAGTTTAATATCAGTGGAAAGGGCATAACGGGCATCTTCTAATTAAGAGATTATAACTCGGGATTAGTGGAGAGGTACGTGCAGAAGTCGGTCGCTCAAATTGGAAAATCTGGCCAAGCATGTGGAATTTTGCCACTACTGCTGCTAATACTCATTTCTCATGAAGCCATTGAGTGCCACTCTCGAATTTGATGGGGTTAGAATGGACGTACCGATTTTGAATGATGCATAGAAACAATGAAATTGCATAGGTGAAAAGCGTAGATATCAGCCACTGAAATTGATCAAACTGTTTGGTCAAGTGGATCTTCTTGTTTGAAGATTGAGGAAAAGTGTCTTGAATCAAATTAAAGACAACAATTTCACAAATAAAATGACACCGGAATAAGCTTGTATCTTGCCTAGAAGAGAAGTTACAGCAGAAACAGTTTCACAAATCCAGTCCGAATGTGCACCAGGAGTCAAATATAGGTCAAATTCAAATTCAAATATCTGGTGTTCATGTGAACTGGGTCCAACTGTTCATGTCGACACGGCATTGATCCTATGTCTGGTTCTTATTCTTCTCTCGAAATCCATGTTCGGTCCCAGAAAACTTTGTGAGAGTAGAAATTAACAACGCCATATACCATCCCAACCATGGAAGTTGATCAAGTTGATCGGTCTTGACCAAGTTCTAAGTACGTTTCTGTTTCTGCTTCGTTACAGCATCAAATTCCGTTCCTGTTCCGTTTCTCGTTTCCTTTCCGTTTCGTCACCCAACCACGGCCAGGGTAACAATATGGAATCGAAAAAATGGGTTTCCGAGATACGAACCATTGAATGGCAAATGACGCGAGTCATGCAACATGGGAGCGAAGAACTACGCAGTGGTTCTTTAAAAGAATAACAAATAATTGGAATATTTACCCTTCCCTACATTTTGTGAGGCACGAGTTTTCCGGCGTCCGCTCTGCTAAGTAGCATAGATGCTTTTATTCCTTGGGACGACTGTTACTTGGATTACCCATATGGTAGTCCCTCGCTTGACTCGGGGCATGCATTCTGAGAAAATGCAGTGAACAGCGAACACAGATGATGCATAGAAACAATGAAATTCCAGAGGTGACAAGCGTAGATATTAGCCACTGAACTTAATCAAACTGTTTGGTCAAGTGGAACTTCTTGTTTAAAGATTGAGGAAGAGTGTCTTGAATCAAATTAAAGACAACGATTTCACCAATAAAATGACAGGAATAAGCTTGTATCTTACCTAGAAGAGAAGTTACAGCAGAAACAGTTTCATAAATCCAGTCCGAATGTGGGCCAGAGGTTAAATATAGGTCATATTCAAATTCATATATCTGGTGTTCATGTGAACTGTCGGGTGTTCATGTGTTCATGTGTCGGGTGACACCCGACATATGACCGGAACTAATCTTTTTTAATGGGNTAACAAATAAAAAATCAAATGGTTATTTCTCATGATGCAACTGCGTGCCAAACTTAAGTTTAATATCAGTGGAAAGGGCATAACGGGCATCTTCTAATTAAGAGATTATAACTCGGGATTAGTGGAGAGGTACGTGCAGAAGTCGGTCGCTCAAATTGGAAAATCTGGCCAAGCATGTGGAATTTTGCCACTACTGCTGCTAATACTCATTTCTCATGAAGCCATTGAGTGCCACTCTCGAATTTGATGGGGTTAGAATGGACGTACCGATTTTGAATGATGCATAGAAACAATGAAATTGCAGAGGTGAAAAGCGTAGATATTAGCCACTGAAATTGATCAAACTGTTTGGTCAAGTGGATCTTCTTGTTTGAAGATTGAGGAAAAGTGTCTTGAATCAAATTAAAGACAACAATGCGATTTCACCAATAAAATGACAGGAATAAGCTTGTATCTTACCTAGAAGAGAAGTTACAGCAGAAACAGTTTCATAAATCCAGTCCGAATGTGCGCCAGAGGTTAAATATAGGTCATATTCAAATTCATATATCTGGTGTTCATGTGAACTGTCGGGTGTTCATGTGTTCATGTGTCGGGTGACACCCGACATATGACCGGAACTAATCTTTTTTAATGGGTCCTGCCCGACACATGACCGCAAAGGGTTAAAGCGGCGTGGTTTGCGTGAAATGTTGATAAAGGGAGCTCTCCATGAAAGTGAAAAGGGGGAGGATATACCGGGACATAATATTGTTTAACATCGTCTACAAAAAACATCGGTTACCGCTGTCTAGTTTCGATTGCGTGAACGATCCCTAAGCCATGTTTTCATAGCCGATGGTTAGACGATGGCTAAAAACCCCTCATGGTATATATAGCACGTTCTGACTCCTCGGTTGTCGCGTAATACACTTCGAAATCCGCAAAAAAACAAGGGAATCTAGTGAAAAAGGAGAACATTTCTTCAGACTATTTTTAAGTACATCTCGAAGAGCTTGAAAAGGAGAATCTCCCGATAGAGAAACACAGTGCACTTTCCTTGCACAACATTAATCATACCTGGAAACTGATGAGTTCTCCTCTGACCATACTCTGTATTTCCATACATCAGAAGTAAAGAGAAGGACTCGTTTTGGACACACGGAGAAGTTGGAAATGAGAAAAAATAGGAGTATGATTTGGGTACAATTGCAATATGAGGATATTCGAGAATCGCGCGTGGATCCCGGTCACGTAATGACATCAGTAAAAAATCATTTCGGCAACGCGCACTGCTTTGGACATCCATGAAATAGAAGCATTTGCGATTGATTAAAGTTGTCTGGGCATTCTATTCGAGAACGACAATCGTCGATGAAACCAATCACTCCTGGAAATCCGACAATATCAAATAAATATCTTTGAACAACTACTCCGTTTTTCCTCCTTAGAATGTAATGAGTGATGCAAATGGGCAATAGCGCCATTCCATTTCTAGGAATCGACGCCACATAAAATTGAAGCCTTAGAATGACATGCAAATCAAAAGGCTTTCATGATACTCTCTTTACTTTCGAGTCATATTAATTAATTACTCAGGGGATGGGTACTTGAACAAATCACGATTCATTGCACTCGAACAGGGATTGCTCTTATCTGTCGATGTAACGTTAAGGGATCCTTTCCTCGATCTTCGTTCCTTTCGAGTTGAGCGCGAAGCAGGTTAACATCATACCCTGATCCCTTTCCAAATTGGTATCTCACGCGGAAGATATCATCGACAGATTCTTCAAAGGCATTACGCCCAGAACCTATGTTTACTCCTCCCATGCGACGACGAGAGCACATCGCTGTCATCGAGCGGATCCATAAACAGAATCCATTGTGCTTCACCAGTACACTGCAGCGCTATACTCACGAGTACACGAACGCTGGCATAAATATCGGTAAAACATGCCCCATCCCTTATATGGAAACGATACCTTTTTCAGCTTCTGTGAAACATCGGTTAGACAATAGTTAAAGGAAGATATCGTTCATGGAATCCATATTTGGTCTAAGACATCGGTTAACCGATGACTTAAAAAAAAAAACACTGGGAAAACATCGTTCATGCAATCGACCCTAAATTTCGCGCTCCCCCCATAGTACCATTCGCGCCCTCCAGTTCGCGAACCGCTGCTCTAGGCCAAAACGCCTGCATTTATAGTGGAACGGCCCGCTGACGTCATCACATGCGCAAGATATTTTAAGTCCATCCCAGTCGAACTTTGTAACGTCTGCATTGCCTGTTGTATGGAATCTCATTAAATTTTTGACTGTCATCGCCCTGTCAAAACGTCGGAGGAGGCTCGAGGCGATCAGTGGCGCACCTAGTCCTGGTACTCGTCAGGCTTCTCATCAAAATTAATAAAATCATTCAAAGGTGATGCCTGCCCCTTACGAACCTTGTCCTTGTTTGGCTCAAGCAACGAGATGGACGTTATGCACACAGTCGCGGTTGAAAACGAAATTTGTTAGTGGTTCTTGGCAATTTTAGTGGCATAATCCAGATGATGTGTGAAGCTACTTCTAATATCTACACATGTAATCAATGACCATGTACATTCCAGCGAACGTCTTTGTCTTTGGTGGGAATTTCAAAAGCAAAATGCGTGGCCTTCTAGGGTTTCAGTCTGACTAATGTAGATTTAAAAAATTGTATATCAGCGCGTAGGAAAAATAATAAAATTACCGCAAGAGTTACTAGAATAAATATTGAATAGAGACAACAATTGCGGTCTCATCATAGTTTTAATTTCTATTCCACAGATAGTCAGTCAAGGTGATATGAAGTATCGGCTAGATATAATTGCAAGGAAAGGTACAAACGAGAAGTCGCAAGACACTCATGAGACTTCATGTTCAAAATTCTCATGAGATCCTCGTGAGAATCTCATTAAGATTTTTTTTAAATGAGACATCATGAGACTTTTTCAGCAGGACTGAGACACATCTAAGAACACAAATACTATTCTGACCGAAGAAGCATCATTAAAAGAGCAAGATTGCCAACTGATTTGGGTATTGCCAACTGTCAACTGCAGATTGCCAACTGATGTAGTTTTCTCGTACATTTATCTGCATCCCTCTCAACAGAAGTGATGCCAGGGAATATGAAACGCTACCTATAGATCTCCCAGTTACCCTATATACAGGTATATACTGTACTATACCTATTTCACTTATTTTAATAGAGGCTTTTGTGCGATGGATGAGAAAATGTTCGGGTCCTCGGGGTCTTCTCGTCCTCTCCTTCTTCACGATTGACGATGTTGCATTCTGGCCGTTGAATATCTCCATCAGTCACGATAGGTGTTTGTGTGAATCGAGCTGGAGACCCCATGACGAATAATGCTTGTAATCGGTGAACTTTTAGGGTTAGGGTGGTGCATAAAGTAGAGAAAATCTCCATAGAGAGGGCGGAAGAGGTAAGAAGCAGGAAGAAGAGGCAGGATGAAGCATGTCGTAAGAGGCCGATGACGAGTTTGAATGGACTGAAGGAGGCCATTCGTGAATCCAGAGAATCAGTGGAGCGATCGGAAGCCGACGACGAGGTTCGTCGGTTGCATGGCGAAGTGCAAGCCTTCCATGTATTCCACCTTCTCTGGGGTTTCCGGCGTCCTTACGATCTCGAGCTCCTTCAGCACGTGAACGAAGGCGAATCGCATGATATCCTGCGCTAGTCTAGATGGCCAAGTCAGAACAAGGGCTCGTTAGGCATAAAATATCGGCTGAAAGCAACTGCAAAATCACTTTCCAAATTACCTAAATGTCTGGGTGTTGCGAATTAAACTTTTTTTTCAGGAAAGAGAGGATTGAGGAATATATCTCATATTATACTTTTTATATGCATATTATTCATTTAATAATAATAATTATTTCTTTCTTATGAAATATTTTGTGGGAATATTTACTTAACTTCACTCCATTATTTGTTTATGCTACCGAATATCAAGAAGATATCAAGGCCCATGAAGTAATTATTTCTTCATGTTACTCCTCTGACGGTTTTTTTTTATTGGGTAGCTCAAGGTTTCCTAAAGCTAACGAAATGCAGATACATGATACATATACAGACCTCATTCCAATGCATATGCGTGGCCCGCTACCAAAGGGAATATATGCGTAGGGATTATGCGTTTGGTTCCCCTCTAGAAATCGTTTGGGTTTCCACACTTCGGGGTCCGGGAATTCTTCTGGTTCCCGATGAAGGGTGTACGTAGGGATCTGTACCACGGTGCCCTTAGGGATGAATATGTTCTTGTAGCTGCAAAACCAGGGATTATCTTTCCGTGAGGAGATTCTTCATTGTATGCAAGTTTTGGCAAGTATTTCAATATCGGCTCGTTTCTAATTCCATTGCTGACGTAATACCCTTCGGCATGAGTTACCGTTCAAGGATATAAAATCTTGTAAAGCAGGCCGAAATGAAGTCCTAGTAATGAAACCAGCTTTCTCTTCTGTTCCGTCTTTCTGACCGACAAGGAGAGAGATGCCCATGGATCCTTCCAGTTAATACCGACAAGGTAAGTTGTGAAAATTCCGACCCCCTTAAACTTAAAATCCGCCGCCTCGCATACGTAAGAAATTGATACTTTTGGAATGTATGCCATTCTAGAGAAAAGCGTACACACCGTCCAATCACGCCTTCAGACTGGACATTGGTGTTGCTTGGTTAAAAAGGACTGTTTGGATTTCTGATTACGTTGGATTATGTACCGCGGGCGCGGACATTTTAGCAGCGTCTGAATTTGTCTCACATTCCCTATTCGTTTCACACTCCCCATAAACGGGCCCGCTTCCTCATCCTCACTGTGACCTCACATATAAACTCACTTGTCTACCACCTCTCTTGTTCCTTTATGTCTAGTATATGTACTGTGTATTTCAATGTGATGCAGAATTTGCTTAACTTGTTAGGACACCTGATAACTCCCCAGGCTGGCATTTACAGTATTTCGTTTTATTTTCTCTGGAACGAATGCTGCTTGACTGAACCCATAAATAAGAAAAGCGCGTAAAAGGCGTCCTTCCCTTTTCTTTCCATAGCTCAAATCCCCAGTTTTACATTAGGTAACGTATCACGAGATCATACTAGTGACCTGCTTTTGGCAACAAAGTGTCGTCTTATAAGTTGGCAGTGACAGGTAGTCGTCGTAATAAAGGAATACATCTTAAATTGAAGTGCATATGAATAGAGTTTTTGAATGTTCAAGTTTTCGTCAAATTGGGGGGAAAAAATCTTACTGAAAGTCACGCTTGGCGACCCTTTCCAGGCGATTAACTGGGGGCTGGAGGCGAAAGGACTCGGCGATGCATGCATCCATGAGGGGCAACTTGGATAAGGTACCGTGTCGGACCTCTCCGTCCGTTTCCTTGATGGCATCCAGGATCTCCTCTCTCACTTGGGATTGGATGTCCGGGTGGAGGGCGAGGTAGTAGGAGGTGAAACTCATAGACGTCTTCATCGTGTCGTAGCCGGCGATGAAAAATAGCATGAGCTGCTCCTCCAGCAACTTTTGCGTTATACCCATCCGCTTGTATTCCTTGTTCTCCTCCGACTGAAGCAAAGCCAAGAAAGAAGTACTTTCTTTAAAGCACTGCGTCGGATCACTCCATTTGAAGTCGTATAATTTGCATATTAATGCGGCTACTACTCTGACGCTGACCGATGAGTTTTGTTACCTTGGCTTAGTTTGAAAATGAAAACCTATTGCGAGAAGGAATCAGGAAATAAAATGAGTTTTAAACCCTAACGCATAACGTCTCCTTTGAAAATCAACAGTTTCTCATGTACCATCAATTATCATTAATGTAACCTGCAGACTATACCTGCTTGATCGCCTGAAGGATGATGTCGACGTAATCCTTCCTCAAGCCGGAATCCGGACCATCCTTCCGAGCCTTGACGATGTCCTGGATAGTCTTGACGAAGAAGTCATGCGCATCTGGCGGGAACACGTCCAAGAAACTCAATATTTTTGGGAATGCCACTAGAAAGGAAAAATCACATCGAATGACTGGCTTTCAGCGCTCTAAAATTATTAACAATTTTTCCAAAAAATATTTGTCACAACTGGAAAAAGAACTCGTAAACTTTCAACTCACGTGCGAATACGATCATGGGGTTTCCGAGGTCCGCACAGGTGAAGAGGCGGAGTGCATTCTTCACAAATGGAGTTTCTGTATTCTCCAAGGAAGAAACTTCCACGCCAAATCCATATGAGGCGAGCACGTCAAGTCCGAAGCAGGAAAAATACCTTCAGTCAAAAAATAAATAAATAAATCTAAGTAAATCATTCTGTTAAACAAAGGCTGCAAACTCATAGTAACTTTGAGTTTTTCAGCCATTGCCCCTGGCGATTGTCTCAAAATTAACTTATCGATGAAGAACCTATAATCTCAAGTATTTCTGGGAGAACCATTTGGACTAAGAATTTCCAAGAATATAAACTCTAGACACATTTTAAAATTTATTTTCGTTTCCTATGGGCTACACATGTCACATGCTTAAACAATGAAAGATTGAAAGGGTTTCATTATTCCCGATTGAATTCACAGTATTCCTCGACTTCAACTGCATGACAAAATGATGAATGACAAAAAGTAAGGAGTGACGGGTGAACGCAATAGAGAAAAGGCATTATTGACAGCGGTCACGAATGCCTTATTTTCTCTCAAAAGAATTTCACAAAGTTAGGGCTGGTATTTAAAAAATTTCTAGCGTTATGCCTTGTCTCTTGGGCTGCATTTACCGAAGCTAAGGATGTGGTAATGCAGCAGTTATGCGACAGACCTGGTAATCTCAAGACCTTTCTTCCCATCTTTCCCGTCTCGCTTCAGCAGTTGCGTCAAGGTCTTGGCGGATTCCAGGAAAGTGTCCACCGCATTCTTCATTCTGCTCCCCGTGAATCCTGGCCCCAACAGGGATCGCATTGCCTTCCATTGCTCACCCTGACGGAACAAAATTATCAGTAGAGTGCAAATGAAACTTGAAATAATCGAAGACATGAAAGTTGAATGTGGAAACGTCATAAGTGTCGATAAATTCGTAAGAAGGATGTGTAAATGAGGAACATGAGACGAAAAGCAAACAGTAAAGTTCTTGAAGAAATAGTCATTTGCAAAAGATGTTATATGAATCAATGAAAAGGAACAAGCCTTGAAAGTAGTAAATGCAACAATTAATTTTTAAAATTTATTTAAGGTGCGAAAGGAAAATATAGGAATAGCATTTGACAACAAGTATCATATTCAAGTATCTCATCTAACATTTTTTATTTTTAACTTGCAAATTACCTGTCTTTATTTGTGTAACACTTGAAATATTCACGTCTTCTCAATAGATATCGATCGAATGCTGCCCCTTAGAATTCATACGAGTCACACCGCTAAAATTCGGAACAGTCATATTACATTGGGTGCGTCCCATCTCCTAATTTTATCTTTCCACTCTTCTTTATTTTAATCAGGCCAAGGATTGCGGAAAGGTCTTTCCAGCTCGAATCCCTGCCAAACATAATTTCTCCTGGGCGAATGATTCAAATTAAGCTGCTCTCCTCAACGTCTTCATATTCACTTCCTCATAACATGTCGCACAAGCTACCATTTTGCAGCACGATCGTGAATCTTCTAGAGCCAAAAGACGAGCAATTATGGTGGTTGTGAAAGGGACTGAACTGCAGTCATGGTATGTGGCGCTGCCTCGGCTCGATCCCGGCTTCGAATGTGATTTCTCAGGCTCTGCAAGAGATGAAGCTCATTCCTCTGTGTTTTGTGACACGCTAAACGACATCTGCCTTCCCTCTATTCTCGCGTATCTGAGTCTTCCTTCATTTCTAGATGAAGGCGAACCTCTACCTCAGATAGGATACTCCAAGGAGAAGTAATTAATCGAAGTTTATCGATGGGATGGGGATAAGCACCAGTCAACAAAGGGAGAGATGGCGGGGAGGGGATGACAATCTGAATCGGAGTCTGAATGACGAGATAGGAATTGAACCTCATGCCCCTTCACGCATTCCTGGATTTCATAACTCCTTTTCATTTTCGCACAAAAATAGTGAACATATGCTCAGGACACAATTTTCATGCATTTCACCCTCAATCACTTAACGAGTTCTTCGCTTCCGTTTTCACTGTGGAATCCGACTCGGCACCGACTTTGGAGGTGACCTCGGCTCGCATCGAGGATATTTCCATCACCGAGGAGACGATCGTGAATATGATAGGGAAGTTAAAGGTGGGCAAGGCGACCGGCCCCGATGGGATTCCGGCGAGAGTCATTAAGGAAACCGCGAGAGAAATATCGGTTCCGCTAAGAATTATATTCGAAAACAGCTTTTCGCGCGGGGAAGTACCTAAGGACTGGAGACGAGCGAACGTCGTACCGATCTTTAAGAAGGGCGAAAAGAGTAATCCAGGAAATTACAGGCAGGTAAGTCTCACGAGTATCCCAGGGAAGATCACGGAGAGCATACTAAGGGACCATCTCTTGGATTTCCTCGAAGGAAACGCGCTCATTCTGGACTCTCAACCCAGCTTTAGGAGGCGTCGAAATTGTCTCACCGATTTGCTCGAATTCTACGACTGGGCGACGGAAGAGAGGGATAAAGGGAATCCTGTGGACATCGTCTATTTAGATTTCGCGAAAGCTTTCGATACCGTTCCTCACAAGAGGTTGCGGGTTAAACTGGAGGCGCACGGGATCCAGGGTAGGACGAGTGAGTGGATCAGTAGTTGGTTGGCAGGACGAGAGCAACGGGTTATGATAAATGGGGAAGCGTCGAAGGAGGTCGGAGTCGCAAACGGTGTCCCTCAAGGCGAGGTCCTTGGACCGCTCCTGTTTTTGGTCTACATAAATGATTTGGATCTCGGCGTAGAGGGTAAGATAAGTAAATTTGCCGACGACACCAAGATAGGTTTTACCATAAGGGGGGAGGCGGATAGGGCTAGAGCCGAGCGAGATTTAAGTCTTTTGGACGAGTGGAGCAAGAAATGGCTCATGAGGTTTAATAAAAGTAAGTGTAAAGTTCTCCACGTCGGTCGAAACAACGGTAGGTCTCTCGACACGTTCGGCGATGTTAAATTGGATGAGGCAAACGGAGAGAGAGATTTAGGAGTTTCTATCGATGAGGACCTCAAGTTTTCCTCGCACGCGCAAGCGACGGTGGCCAAATGCAACAGGATTCTAGGTTACATTCGTCGGTCGGTTGCAAGTAGGACATCTCGCGTTATTCTTCCGTTGTATGCGGCGCTGATAAGACCCCAGCTGGAATATTGCATTCAGTTTTGGAGGCCTACAAATAAGGGCGATTTGTTGGCGCTCGAGGGAGTACAGAGGAGGGCCACAAGAATGATTAAGGAGGTTAGGGGACTCTCATACGAGAAGCGTTTAGAAGTGCTGAGACTGTACTCGCTCGAACGAAGGTTAAGGAGGGGCGATCTCATCCAGGCTTTCAAGATAATTAAAGGAATAGATAATGTCGAGTGTGGTAGGTTTTTCCAGTTTGATGACAGCAAGAGAACGAGAGGTCACCGACTTGAGTTGCGCAAACCGCAGGTGCGGCTCAGGTCGAGACAGGAATTCTTTACTTGCAGAGTGGTGAAAGCGTGGAATGCGTTAGATGACGAAGTAGTGGCTGCCCCTTCTGTGACTATCTTTAAGAAGAAACTAGATGCTTTCATGGACAGGCAAAAAGGTGGGGGGCAATGTTGACGTTAGGTACTAGACAGTAAGCAACTAGGATAGTAAAAAAAAAAAATACAAAAATATTTAGCTTCAAAAGGGTTAAGCCTACTCTAAAATTAAGGAACGCTCGACCTCGACACGTGATATCGAAATGGGCGAAATCGCCTCTTGATGTCACTATCTTGACTTGACTTGATCACGATGCCGTTTTCAACGCAAATTCTACATATTTATTGGAAAAGTTTGGAGTGGACACCGTCCCCCACGAACCTGCCAACACTGTTTATGGTTCCAATCACGCTCTTTTCTTCATTTAAACTCGGGTTACATTGTTGTTTTCGTCATCAGAATCGAAATTTAAAAATAGAGAATGGAAACGGGTGACATGAGTTAGAAGAAGGAATGAATGTGAGATCCCTTAGAATATGAGAATGGAAAAGGGCTTAACCTGTAAGAGGGCGAGATTGTTTCGGAAAATTTCCTGTTTGACCTCGAAATTTCGCCGGTCGGCGAAGTTGGAGAACTCCTTAACGGTGACCACTTTGACCAAGTCGGGGTCGGTCGTGAAGAGGATCGGGTGACAGCCCTCGTATTCACCCCACGTCTGACCGAAGCGACGGCGGTACTTCAAGTCCTCCAGATGCACCACACCTGCTCCGGGGAAGGCAGAGACGTTAAACATCGCTGTTCTGAGTGCAATTTCGGATTTCGAAGAGGCTTTCGACGTTCGACCTGCGACGATACCATGAGTTGAATGGTTGCTTTCGAATTGTCTTTGCGACTCACTTCAGTCGAAAGTCTTATTTTTGAAATACAGTAGTTGTCACCACTAGATTAGCCCAGCGAATTCATATGATGGTGAAATAGAGTTCTTCGATCTTAAAATGGAAAACAAGAAATATTTTCTCATCTATCAAAACCAAAAGTCGAACTCCGAGTAAATTAATAAACACAGTAAATGTATTTCGTAATACTGTGTGCAGCTGAACATTAACATTCTCATTATTCTTCGTAAGCAGTAGAAATCCAGGAAATAGTGGCTTTTTCCTGTGTTTGGGTCATTCATATCCATTTATGAATGAATAATTGTATTGATAGGCTTTGGTAGTACCTTCTTCATCCCCTTCCCGCGACAAAATTCAACCTCCTCATATTCCTCTCTGCGAGCGTCAACAGGAACGAAATTTGGCATATTTCTTCCTCTTTCTCAACTCGGAATCCCTCCAGTGAATTTGAAGCTCGATCTCCCAGTGGTTTTGGAGATCAATAAAATCTTATGATCGTAAGTGTCCCGTTGTGATAATAAATGTCATCGTTTCATTAAATAATGAAATGTTTGTTCCGAAGCAAACGTGCGAATGTTGCCAAGAACTGACAGAATAACATGAGAATCTTCACCCTTGCACCTTGCTATTACAACCCTCTTTCCCAGTTCGCTTCGCATGAACAAATAAATAGGCTTTGGTAAATACATTTACTTTTCTTCAACCCCTTACCGCAACGAAATTCAACCTGCCCGTATTCCTCTCTTCTCTCAGGTTCCATGCTGCCATTTTCTTCTCAGAACTAGTCGAGACGGTTCGAGGAACTCTAGATAGGGCTAAAGGTCCACGATCGCCCCGATATGGTTCGTGAAACTCGAGACAGACCCAGGGGCGGCTCATGATATGGGGCTGCATGCCTGTGCAGCCCTCCGAGCAGCATATATGAAAATCATTTGGCCATGTTCGTCTACGTTTGGCGGCCCGGCCTCGCAGACCATAGCTTGGGCTGCAGCCGAGCGCAGCCCAACACCATGTAGCGAGCCGGCGTCAGCCATCGCGCAGGCGTACAAGGCACATTGCAGTCAGTTTTTCTTGCGTTGCGTCTGCAAGATGAATAATTCCCGTTGAAAAAAAATAGTGTGCCTTGGCGCCAGCCGCATGTCTGCGATCGTTACATTTATTAATCTTAAATTTCGCACTAAGTCATTTTAAAAAATTCACTGTATGACATTGCGCCATGTGTTTTACGGGAGTTACATTTTTTTTTTTTTACTGATTCCTACCCTTGGAATCACGTGCCCAGTAGCGTAGGGAAGGGAGGGGTTACGGGCGTAGAACCGCTCCCCCCCCCCCCCTTGCACTCAGAGAAATCTGTAAATCGAGATGAAATATATATCTCAATTTTCGCGTTTGGATTTATTTTTCTCAAGAGAAAAAGACACCAATTGGATTTTCGATTTATATCTCTCGCTTCCCGACCGTGCAGGGTCGCCTGAAAGGCGTTCCCAAAACCAATATGCGTCTATAGCCGAGTCGGAAGGGTGTTTTGAGTGGCTGCGCATCGTCTAGACGCATGTTAAACAACGTATTCCACTTCATCGTGCCGAGGAAGCCCCCCCCCCCCTCCTTCCCTTCTTCCCTCCTTCCCCCCATGAACCCTCGGGGCAATGCATTGACAGCCGAGGGATTCACACGCAACCGCCTGAGTGCATGGCCTCATCGCCACTTCACCTTCCCTCCGACTCGTGTGAGTACGCGTAGCTCGTGCGTCTCGAAGGGATTCCCATGTAACCGCTTACTTCATTCTTCAAGTCCAGTTTCATACGGTGTTTGTATTCCGCTTGGTGCTTTGGTGGTGCAACACGCATCGCCAATATAAGATCCGACTGTTAACTATATATAATTAACAGTCCTTTAAGAATACATGGATTCCTATGGGAGAAAAAGAGCTCCTTCACTAAAAGTCCCGTTGTCTCCCTTGAATGAGGTTCGTGTATTCTGGCTTTAAGCTGAAAAGCCACTATATTCCCACAATAGGACATGCAAGGCCAATTTCGATGTGGCTAAAGTTCATCACGAAATGTTCAATGCGGCAGAAGCGCATAATATACCTGACCTATACACCCAGAATCAAATTAATCAAATTAATGCATTTTCGTCGAGAAAAAAGTTGTCCTCCATGTGATGCGTTTTTATCGCATCCAACATTTGATGCGATAACCGCATCCAAAATTCGATGCGATAAAGACGCATCACATGCAGGACAATTTTTTCGCGAGAAAAATGCATCGAACTGAGGCACTGAATTTTCTGTGTGTGTGGGCTTCCCGGTCAGAGACACCGACAGGCATATTTCAACCTTCCTTGGGGAATTCCAATTTTAGCTTACCCCTTTCGAGGAAAGTCCGATGTCCGTCCACAGACCCAAGATGCCAGACCATGATTCCTTCAAAAAGGTAAATTCAGATACTGGAGCTAGGCGTAGGGTTGTGGTGTCTCTCTGGTCTCAACTGCGCCCTTGGTGATTTCTGGCATACGCCACTTTGCAGCCCTCTCAGGTCTTGAACCCAAGAGCCGCCATTGAACTGACCTCTAATCGGTCTAATGTTATTCATTCTCTCTTAAAAGGATCATGACAGAGTGAATAGGCCTGCGATTGGCCAAACGTTACGCATCGTCGAAGAGATCTCGAAGACCAAGGTTAAACCTTATAGGGTTAATTGGCCCCATAAGTCGAGGATTGAGCTTCTTTTGAACGAAAAAAGGTAAGCTTTGACCTACCCGACGACAGTCCGTCGGTTAAGCCTATGCCTCACGTTAATGAGTTCCATTGAATAAAGGGGTAAGCATTTGAAAATGTTTTCGCATTACTTCATTACTCAATGTTTTTCATTGTCTTCATAGCAACTACGGCGTTTTCTGATCGCTTTGGAGTGCGCAAGAAACTGAGGGATATTTACATTTTCAATAATTGAAGAAATAAAGGAACTGCAGCGCGACGGAATGAGCAATACACCCCACCTTTGTAGACTGTAGGTCGACTGCCGACGATAATCCAAGGCTTTAGCTCGGGAATCCCCTGCCTCGACCACGTGCCCCACGTCCGAGTGAAATATTTGTACAGGAGGAGGAGGGAGGCGAGGAAAAGCAGCCAGGAAAGCGGGAATTCCACGGCCAGAACTTCCATTTCACTTCTGTCTTCACTCGATGTGTATCGCTTGGAATATTCCCACGTTTATGATTTCTACGTTTCTTTTAACTAGTCTGGTTGTATTTTTCTTTGAGAAGCAAACTGTTTTTACGGTGTGACGTCCCTTATAATGGCACACCTCGCTCTCGAAGAACCACACAATTTAGGAATTGTCAGGACGTCGTTTAGAATGTTCACACGATTTCAAAACTATCACTTATATTGAAATATATATCAGGTCACAAAACTCATTTGTTTATTATTTCGCTTTTCAGAACTTAATGCAATTCTTAAATCGAAGAGTGTGAGACTAGTCTCTTGGAATACAAATCATGAATGCACAAGAATTCCCAACTACCTCGATCCATAGCGGCAATGCTTGAACAGAATATTCCCTTCTCCGGTAAGAAATACATTACGGTAGTTTCTGCCTCTTACTTTCAACGTACTACATGTCCACTTGTCCATTGCTATATGTCTACATGCCTACATGTCCATGCAACATGCATCGTCGTCTATGATCCAGCTTGAGAGCGAACCTAAAACGGTTCATGAGCAATACACTCAACTGATGAGCGCGTTTTGCAAAATATTCACCTACTTCATGAAATAAAGAAGTAATTTAGTGAAAATGTGAACATACTGATAATGCACGCTTTGAGCATGTAGCACACCCACGTTGGGCCAACGTCAAAAGCTGACGTGCGACTTCACATGCGAGCGATTAAAAGCATGAGATACAGTGGTACCTCGCATAACGAACGCACCGCTGGAACGAATTGCGTTCGTTATGCGAGGTACCACTGTACTATGTTTGTACATGACTGCTGAGCTTCCCTACTGGGGACCTTGCCACCGAGTCACTGACTGTCGGGCTGGAAGTACCCGAGTGAGTAGTACATCTTTCGATTGTCATCTATTGAGGCTTTCATTTTCCGCTCGGGATTTGAGCCCCATTGTGATTACATTCATCACTCAGATGACTTTTTTTCCCGCTCTGGAAGTGCTTGTCCAGTAAGACTCTTGGGTGATCGTATCTTATATCACACCTGGATCTTCTAATTCCTGAAGGGGAACCAGACGCAGTCTCCACGATCGAAAGAAACCGAACGTCTTCATCCTCACCCCGTTGGGTGAAGCCCTTGGACCCTTGGACATTTCGGATTCGAGCCATTCGTCATCATATGCTCTACACATGAAATGGCATCTATGAGGAAGAAGTGCGCCAAAGAAGAGGGGCTTACAACGATGTATCGCGGAAAGAATTAAAAAATCGGGCGAATTCGTCCCTGGTGAAGCTCCGGCGTAAAGGAGGTCATGCGCGCATGCAGAGTGACGTCACAAAGATGCGCATAAAAGGATGCGCATCGGAGACGCTTTTGGCTCACATTTTCCAGAGTAATCGAAGCAGGGGGCCATTTTCTCTCTCCCTCTCTTCGCTAATCTCGCGCACTCAGCTTTCGCAAAGGAAAGTTCTGCTTACCTCCCCAGCTCCCCTATCCTATTTTTTCTTATATAACCTTTGCGTCAAAAGTTTTTCTACGTGTAGCATGTTCTTTCTCATCAATTGGTATTCGCCCCGTCGAGAAGTTTCAGAAACACCATGCTGAGCCTGACGGAATACCTGATGGAGACTTCACTTGTTCCAGCAGAAGATAGCCAATCCCTGCGCTATGTAGCAGGTTGTGGCCTCCAAACTTGCGGACAAAGTGTCTGATCTCGGATATCATCCCATACATGATTTAGAAAGTTCTCCTGGATCTCAATAACTCTTCTCTCGAGGATGAAGCAGCTTATTTTGCACTCATGCGTAGGATCGGCGAGATCTCGAAGCA